CCCATCAATCGTAGATGAGCTTCCTCGCATAAATGGGTGAATGCTTTATTTTTTAACATTGCATAGAAGTTTGGAATTCTAACTTTTTATAACATACCCTTTTGAGGAATCTTAATTTTAAGGAACAGAAAGGAATCAGGCAAGGGTTGTGGATGTATGAGAAAATGGGAAAAATAACGTGTTGTGAAGTAAAAGAAAAGAGGAGCTTGAAGATTAAGGGGAACTTAATCTTTTCTAAAGTGAAAGATGCTATTTAAATGTATTTTGTGTTGTTAAATTTATAGTTGTCAGTGCAGATCATTGAAAGCTGAGAGTTTGTACTTGCATCTATGGTGATGCAGCGGTATATTTTCTCAAACTAAGGGTAAAGGCAAGAATACTAGTCAAGAAAGAATGAGTTAACCACATTTAGCACTGGGGCAATTGATATTTTTTAATTCATGTCAAACAAGCTATAGAAGATTGAGCGAGACAAAACACTGGCTGACGCACTTTTGTGTTTCTGGGATGTGAAATGAGAAAAACTAGTGGGTGTTGCTATTTTGTCTCGCCAGAAATGTAGGTGATGTCCAAGATCAACATTCAGATCACCAGTGAGGTTGAAAACAAATAGGAGAGAAGATGAGATAAATGAAGAAGTGTTAGTTAGGTAATGTCATGTTTGGGGTTTAAAGCTTGTAAAAGAGGAAGGTAAAGAGGTCCTTAGATTTAAAGTGCTAGGCAAAAATAACCTAGAGGCAGTTCTCATCTCCTGTTCAGTGTCTTGAGACTTCCTTTTGAAATTGATTGTATGTTGACATTGGATGAGGATCAAATCAAGTGTACAATCACAGGACAGAAGTGTGACTTGTGATGTGTTAGTTAACATAGAGACAGAAAATGTGGTCAAAACATTTTCCTAAAATGTGTCCTTAATCTTAGGTTTGGGATCCAACAGCCCCTCCTCCTTCCCCACTCCCGACTTTGGGAAAATGATGTTGCCCACAGACTTTCTAATGCATTCTTAACCTCATTGTGGACTTCACCTCATCCACTCTTTTCTACGATGGAGAAAATATTATGTAGGTGTAAGTACTGTAAAGATAGTTAAGTAAAAGCTTCAGAATATTTACCTATCCCTCATCTCCAGTATACAATCTGAGCCATCTCTCCTCAGAAAAATTCCCCTCTCTCTTCCACTGTCCCCAGAAGCACAGATTTCATTATGGTCTGCAGAGTTTTGTATTCACCCAATCTGCACCTAACTATCCATCCCCATTCCTCAAGCATCAATTTAGCAAGTTCTTTGTCAAAGAAGTTAATCAACACAGCATTAATTGCTTTTGTTAAGAGTCTATTCTGGAGATCCACTCTTCTTTGGGGAAAATATCTTCTAATCTTTAATCCTGTTTGAGGATTTTAGTTGTGAATCTATGCCCTCTAATCCTGCTTTAAGTCAAATAGCGAGGTGACATCTATATTATCCATATCTCAACACTTAAAGACCTGGATCATATCACCCTTATCGTTTTCTTTTAAAGAGAATAATTCAGCTCTTTTATATGCAGCACTATATTCAAGGGACTAATTTTATTAGTAACAGTTTTTTGATATTTATTAAACTCTCTACAGGGAGATGGGATAGAATGAATCATCTTCCAGTAATTTTGAAATCTTACCAGTGCTGAGGCTCTAGTAAATGTGAGCAACAACAGTAACAGCATTTAATCTTCTTTAAGTCTGAGTCACCACATTGAACTTGCAAATAGGTTGGATGTGATGAGCTAGTGCACAACTTTCTTTCAGTATCTTTCTATTCTATCTCTTAACATTTCTGTAAGAAGCTGGATATAAATCTTGCTTGTGAACTAATAGGAAAAAGGAATAATAGGAAAATTTGCTACCATTAGATTTTTTTGAGCAATGCAAGACTTGAATAGAATACCCAAATGTACTTTGCTTGATAGTATGCAATAATATTAGTGGATTCTAAATTATTAGGAAAGTTACCAGTAAAATCTGTGGGCAAAGTTTTTTGTTAAACAGTTTAGTCTATGAGATGATTGGATACATAGAAGCTTGAAGGATATGAGAATGAGCATCTTGCTCTGAGGGTTGGTGCAGACTCGCTGGACTGAATGGCCTCCATCTGTGCCATGCATTTCTATGATTGTATATTTGCTTCTAGAGATATTTTGTGAAGGAGTCCTAATCTGAATAATTCTATCGTAATTATTTGTTTCAACTGAGGTACGGGGAGACGGAACTGACATTGTATGGGAAGATGGAGCAAAGATAAACTCATAGTGTGACCTACCTGCGGTGTTTTGTGGCATGCAAATATTTTTAATATTCTGCACAGGCATGGTCTGTATACAATTATATTGCATTCAATAACAACAACTTACATTTATATTCACACAGAATAGATTTTCAGAGCAATGCACAATGTCAGGGTTGGACGTCGATCAAGGGAGAAGAGGGAGGGGAAGATGATGCAATTGAGGAGATAGGTTGGATGGATTGAGGCAGGGATTTCCAGATTAGTTTGTAGTGACTGAAGGCATGGCCACTGATGATGGCCCATAGGAGACTGGGATGCTCAGTAGGCTGTGTTCTCTCAAATACTACTAGGAACCCTGATGTACCACTTACAATATGGTGCGGCCAATCTTATAAATTCTTTGTATCACTAGGAGCGGTCATTTCAAGCTAATATTATCAAAGATGCTGATATGGCTAGCTGCAGGTCCCTAATCCTAGCAATAGACTTAATTCAAGAATCTTAACCCGTGAACGGAACAAAAGCAGATTGTAAATAGACATATAAATAGATTAGCCTGAGCCATCTACACTGATTAAACCAGCTTGGAACGGCGATGTTTTGTACCACGTCATAGATTTTGATGATTTTTGTTTGCTGGATTGGTGTTCATTCAAAACAATCTGAAATCTGAAATATATAATAATACTTGTATTTTATATAGTGCCTTATCACGTCTTCGAGACTTCTCAAAGTGCTTCACAGAATATACTATCAAGTGAATTGATTGTATATTTTGTGGGCAAAACTCGTCAGCCAATTGCGCACAGCAGTGTTCCACAAGCAGTTGAGTGACCAAATTATTATTGTTAGTTTTTTTTAAGGGATTATTATCCCAGGAAAAGCGATCTGCCAATTGATTAACAACTGGGTTCCCACTTACTGCTAGGTAAACAGAGGCCTTCTAAGGCTGCAATGTTTAACAAATTTAATAAGCAGAACCCCAGCAAGTGATTACCTTGTTGTTCTGTACCAATTTACTGAAATTGAGAAAATATAAATAATTGCATTCTTAGCATAACTACTTATTTGGTAACGCTGCTCAGGCTGGCACTACCCAGAAATACCATCGTTTTGTAAAGTTCGACAGGGCAGGACATCAGTTGTCAGTGAGTTAGTACATAGGATCCCTCGCACAGACTGCTGCCACATTGCTGCCACATATCTCTTAGAACCACCCCACCCCCCACCACCCCAAAAAAAAGTGTTTGGAACAAAATTTGTTGTGTTTATTAATAAGGAATCCTGTCAGAATTCCCTTTGATCAAGCATGGGAAGCTTGTTCCAGAAATAGAGCTCCCCTTGACTGTGATTAGACCTCACTGAATTGCAACAGCATTAATCCCCCGAAGGGTGATTTACATTGAGCTACATAAAATGATAGGGCACAGAAACAGATCATTAGCCCACTACTCTGTGCTGGTATTTTTTCATCACACTTTATTTGCTTCTCCCTCATTTTTGCATCAGTTTTCTCTCAAATACATTAATGCATTTTGCTTCAACCACAGCTTTCAGCAGTGATTTCCACAATTTTTAAAACCCTCTGTGATGATGATCCTTCTAAATTCCCTATTAGATCTACCAGCTATTTTAGATTTATGCTTATTTTATATATATGCTCGACAGAGTGTTTCTCTAATGCTACAATAGCTCTCCTGTAATGTGGTGACCAGAGCTATACACAGTCCTATGTCCATTTCAGAAACTATTGGCAAGAAATTAGATCTAGATTTACTCTACATCCGTAGCATCTCAGAGTTTGCAGAATTTGGCAAATTGTTGAATTCAGTCTCAGTTGAAGGAATCATTAAAATATTTATCTTCATATTTTCCAAGAGTAGATTCATTGATTCTGTAACTTTATGAATGATTCAAACAGAGGATTGTAGTAGTGTAAGAACTGCAAAGTGGGATTGCTCAGCCACTTGTAGTTTGACTTCAAAAGACCAGCCCATGAGCTCAGCACAGATCAATAGAACTGATTTCACAACAAATGAACTATTCTCTAAATAAAAATGTGGGTTTTGTGATTTTTTTTTGGTCAACCAGTTGTTTGACACCTATGACAACCCATCACCATACTTAAAATATGCAAACCAGACTGATAATTCCACATGTGTATGTCAATTCCACATGTGTGTGAAAATTTCCCTGAGTCTGAAATGCGTACTCTTTCCCTGGAGGGACGATCCCTGCTTACCTAATTCTGCTCTAGGTGCAGATTGGCAAGAACTGAGGTTTGTGGACCCACACTGTTGGGTAAGATGGATTTTAACCAAGCTAAAACTACATAGGTTGATAAATTTCTTTGATTATTATTAGTGCATAGAAATTGACAGCACTCAAACAGGCCATTTGGCCCACCTAACTTCTTTAATAAGGTATTCCTGTTAAACTTGAGAACTTTGTTCTAGAAGTATACCACATTGCAAAGGAATCCTTCAGGTGGAATGGCATATTCCCAATTGCTGGAAGAATTTGCATGTCTTGGAAGAAATACCCCAAATGGTCTGTTTTCTGTCCAGAAAAGAATTAGACATCAGGAAAGTTTCAGTCATGCCAATGATGGTTTATCTCCTTTCATTAATGGATTCTAGTGTTCTTACCCTCATGTTTAAATGTTTATATCCATAACATGATTATTGCTTGAAATATATAACAATGACTAACGTGTTTATTTTTTCCCCTGTGGCAGGAGAACCACTGCAGAAGGATTAAAATCCTTGGGGATTGCTATTATTGCGTATCAGGTCTCACTCAACCGAAAACGGACCACGCTCACTGCTGTGTTGAAATGGGATTAGATATGATTGACACAATCACGTAAGTAATTCAGCTTAAAAGGAGAATATTGTCTCACACCAGTTTTAATCATAATTTTGGAAGGTAGGAAGACAATTACAAGAGTTCAAACCCATAACTGCTTATTAAGGTTATTTGCTGTTCCCACAGGATGACAGCTGCTTTGGCAAATATGAATTAATAGCAACAATAGCCTGTACAAGTAACACAATTAGAGCTCTTCCAGTCCTCTTTCAGAACTGTAATGAGAGCATAGCGTGTTTGCACTAAACCTGCAGTTTCTTTTCTTGTGAAAATCACATTTGACTTACTGTCAAACCAGCAGCCAATTAGTGTTAACACCCAATTTTGGAATCTGATGCTAATTAATGATCACACTCAAAATTAAGTTTGTTTTTTCTGAGACTTTATGAATTAGTATTTTCAGCAGCAATGGTCCTACTTTGGCAATCTCAAAGTGAGCCCATAACCATAATAAGGTCTGAATGTGACGATGCATTTTATAATGGATAATCCTACTTTGAGTGCTGTCTGTTAACTACAGGCAGGCCCTGACCTTAATTTACCCATTTTGGAAACTGTCCAAGAAGAGATCTGTTAGTTGTGTATTTACCTTGTGGGATGAATGCATCCTTGCCAGCTTTGAAGCTTTGAAGCTTCTACATTAGAAATAATTCTAAACCAGGACTAAAGGAATGGAAATGTTATAAAGAAGGTGTAACCTTCTTATGGTAGAAAACCCTTTCAATATCAGGTTTAAGGATGATGTTTTGAGCAAATAAGTAGAGGATTGATTGGTCTGAGCGATAGTTGTTGTATGATAATTATCATAATATGTTTATGTACAGGTGTGAGCAGAAGCTCAGAAGCAGTAATGAATGGCAATTGCATTCCTTGCATTTCCAGTTGTAACAGGATCCTCTTGTTTGTCGTTTGTTATTTAGAAACTCTGTTTGGCTTAGTGAGGGTATGTATGATGTATGTCTTATGTCTGACCTAACAGTCGTGACAACGTATAGCTCACGAGTACCTGATTAGCTTCAACCAGAGTAAACTTGGAACTTTAGGCTAACCAGCATGTTAAGGTAAAGGGAACCTCTTTCAAGATTGAAAGTGCTGTGAATTGCAGCAAGGTAGATGTGAATATTGAAACTTCTGCCCTTGATTTCCAGATTATAATGCCTTGTGCTATATAACAAAAGGGAGGTTGTAAGCCCTCTTCACTCTCTGATTTGGTATTATTCTTGATACATATGTATTTTGAAAAACTGACTGTTGTTTATGTACAAGGATTGTAAATTTAATTTATTTTTGCAGATGTGGCGATCGAGCCAACCTGCTGGTACTGTAGTTTCTGCCTAACTCCAACTTTCCAGGTATCTAGGAATCACTCTTTCCTCATGGAGTAAGGGAGCATTCATGAAGTACACTCTGGGGAGGGGAGGAGGTATGCGGGGTTGCTTTGGAGCTGAATTTCTATGTACAACAAGTGATGTCGGCTCGGACCTGATGATCCAGAAGGTGGCCATTATAAGGTGCTTAGTTTTAGAGTGAGGTCTAGAGTTTATGGGTCTAGAGTCCAATCAATGTGTTATAACAGGTCACCCTGTATTATTATTGACTCCAGTTGAAAGGAAAAAACAGTGAGGAATTTATAAAATGTAAATTGAGATGATCAGAAAAGTTGTAATAATTTCAAATGGAATTTGTTGATATTGACTATGAGTCCCAAACGTCGACCCACTGCAGTTGCTCGAAGAGCATCACAGTGACCGTGGAAGCACGGCAATCTAATCCAGGACACTTGGCACTGGGGTTCCTACTGGGTTGTTATTTCTTCTCTTTTGTTTGGTCAGGCAGGTGTCTGACACACACGAAACCTAACACCAAGATAAGAGTTCCCAGTTCTCCTTGGCTCCTCTAATCTCTTTTTTAACCTCTTTCTGAACTGACTTGTATTCAGCCCAATGGTCACTCTTTGTTTCTCCCCCAAAACTTTATAAATCTTCCTTTTCGTCTGTATCTCACTTTATATTTTCTCGATTGGCCCCTTCTATTGGAGCATGTACTTTTCCACCATGTTTATCTAAACTCGGAGAATTTAGGTGCAGGTTGGCAAGAGCCAAGGCTTGACTCAAATGTTCGTTGCTGGAGTTTAACCAGCTAAAACTGCACAGCTTTCCATTGTGAACAGTATCTATCTTCCTACTATTTGTTCAGCTGGAAAAACATCTTACCCATTCGAGTTTTGATTTGAAGGATAAACATTGGCTAAGAGGGAAGAATTCCTGCCCCCTACAACAATGGTCGGTCTGTCACCAGCATAATCTTTAAATATTAGTTATCAGTCAGATCCTTTAGGTAGGATTCAATCTATATATTAGTGAATCTCATTAGAAATCACTGCAAATAAGATCCTAATCATATGTCTTTTTCAAGCAATCTCAGAATTTATAGATGAAGAATCATTTACTGACAGAGAGCAACTAAAATAGGGAGGAACTATTCAAATGATCAAAAATGAAGTGTGCTGCTTAATATCTGCTATGTCATCTCTGTATTATTCTGGTTGCTGTGTCCAAATAAGTGTGAATTTCAGGAGGCCATACAATGTTAGATTTGTGGTTTCAGATATCTTTGATAGTTGAACATTTTGCTCGCAAGTACAAACATCTGCTGTCAGAACATAAACTGAGAACTGCAGCAACATAATTAATTTGAATCTGTCAGACGGTGTCTTGTTTAAATGGATTATGTCTAGCCTAGTTTTGCATTTTAACAATTGAAAGTTGCTTTCATCAACGAGTACTTTCTATTTCTACATCTCATTACTTTATTTTCCCTGTTTCCCGGGTTGTTGTAGTGCAGTGAGTTTTATTGAAATGGGCAGGTTTTTGGCGTGTTTCTCACTTCTAGTTAAAATTATATTGTTGTTGCTCTGTTCTGTATAGGATTTGCCTAAAAGTTAACAGTGCCCAAAGTCACCAGACATTAATATAACAATGGCTTGCATTTATGCAGCACCTACACTTAATAATAAATGTCTCAAGGTGCTTTACAAAATGTAATTGATTGGAATTGAAAGTGAATGTCATTTGGCAAACATTAAAAGTTTGCAATAGTCAATGTCCAAATCACCAATGGTCACTATGGAAATACATCATGCATTATAAGGGCTCTTGTGAAAAAGTAATAATCTTTGAAAATGAGAGGTAGGAATAGAGAGCATTTGTTGATGAAAGCAACTTTCAATTGTTAAAATGCATAACTAGGTAAGACATAATTTATTGAAAATTCTGTTTTGAAAATTGCTTGTTTTGTAGCATTCAAGTGAATGTACTGCATCCAGGCTGCTATCAGTTTCATGGCAGCACATTTAATACAGGACGTCAGAACAGTGTAAATTCTTGGTATTGCATACTCAGAAAACTCAGTAAAATCAAAATGGTGGAAGGAAAATGCAAGAACACTGCTATTCGTATATTTTAAACAAAACACTGCAATTTTGAAAGCATGTTTTCAAACACTGTACAAAGATTATACTTCACAAGATCACACATGAGATTCAGATGAAGAAGGCCCTTCAATTCAATTGAACTCATCTTTCCAGAATACCCACCCTGCTATTCTCATCCTTGGCTCAACCTGTTCCAGTCATGAATTACCCTCTGGGTAAATTAAGTGGAGCGCCATAGAGCAGTGGTTATTACGTTTCCCTCACAAGCGAAAGGACCCGGTTTGATTCCCGGGTGGTGTGAAATCTTTGGCACGTTTTCTTACTCCACACACCTCTGTTTACCTAGCAGTAAGTAGGAACCTGGTTGTTAGTCGATTGGTGGATCGCTTTCTATGGGTAATAATTCCCCCCAACATGCAAAAGGTGGTCATTCTATTCACGACTGTTTATGGGGACATTGCTGTCTGTAATTGACTGCCGCGAAAGTTTCACCCATTAAATATACAGTTAATTCACTTTACATTATAGTCTATGAAGCGCTTTCAGGTGTCTCAATGACGTGATTAAGCACTGTATCAAATGCAAGGATTATTATTATTAATACTTAGTATTAATACTTAATTATTATTAATACAAATAGTGACTGGATGTAGATACTGGTCACCCTGACCTGTAGGAGCTACACTTTGATATCAAATATTTCTAGCATATCTGAATGGAGTTTGCACAGATAATAATAATTATTTAAAAATGCTCAAATGACATCAAACACGAGAAACAGTAGACCACATATTGTCATCATGCACAATCACTGAACAATTTGTAAATAAATTTGATATATATATAAAGACTAACTGGTATGAACATCAACAACCAAAAATAACAGTATAATGATAGATCTGCATTCAATTTGTAGATTGATATATTTCCAAAAAATACTCATAAGTACACCAATAGTAATCTGTAACAAACCAGATATCATCATAAACAACGACAACAAACAAAAAATTGCATTTATATAGACCTTTCACAGCGGGAGGACATCCCAACAACTAGATTGTATGTAGTATTATTGCTGTAATAATCCCTCCAAGTGATTACAATGTAAGAAATAAGGAAATAGAAAAGATCAGGAAATATATGATCTACAAATTGAATGCAGATGTATGGCAGTATAAAACAAGCATAAATACAAATCAATGGTGTAACTGGGACTCTTAATACGACTATTCAGAAAGGCAAAATAACCGGTGAACAAAATATCAACCTCCATAATGAGAATATCGATAGACGAACACGGAACCTTGACCATCCGTGGTCTGTAGCTCAGTGGTTAGAGCACTCGCTTTGCAAGCGAGAGACCTGAGTTCAATTCCAGGCAGAGGGCGAAACCTTGGGCAAGTTTCCTTACTCCACACACCTAATAATAATCCCTCCAAAACCAAAAACAATAATAAATTGGTCATTTTCAATCTACGACTGTTTGTGGGACATTGCTGTGCGCAATTGACTGCCGCGTTCGCCCACAAATATACAGTCAATTCACTTTACAGTGTGTTCTGTG